TGGTCTTTTATTTATATCCAATTTTTGTTTTATTTTGTCAGAGATGGGTGTTCCATTGCAGTTAGAGAATCTGTATTTGGAGAAGTCTCTAAAGGACCTTTCCATACTTGATGCCAATTCAAATATTGTAGGTACTGGAATTCAGCAAAATAGCCAAATATAGTTCAATAGTCCATAATAGTGGTGAGTTATCATCAACTGGCAATTGTCAGAAGTTGTTGACTTAAGACTTACAGCTCAACATATTATTATAGATTTACTTTTCATACCTTGTGTTTATATTCTTCTGATGGATGGTTAAGACCAAGTTAAAGCGAGACCTATATAACTAAAAATGTAACTTTTACAATCTGACAAGGTCAGTCAAATCCCCTCAGGATTTACACTGGAAGCATGTAAAGCACCTTGTATTCTTTTGTCAGTGCCAGCCGTCTGGATGAGTCATGGCCATTACTTCACCAATTTGCTCTCTGTGAAAGCCTGAGAGAATTTTCCATCTCTAAGTGGATCTCCTCAAGTACACTATACATTGTTGATCACTTTCTTCTGTGGTCCCATAAGTTCCTTGATCATAAAATTTGGGACAACACTTAGTTACAGGATGTCACAGCAGAAGTTCACTTAAGTCCTGAGTCCTCACTGACCTTGAAGACTAAGACAAAAATATTGGCTATCCTTATAGTCCTTCTATATCTCTAATTTTTGGTCTGCAACCTTTAGTTGTTAAACATCCAGAAGAGAAGCTTAATGATATTATTGCCCTGTAGCAGTTAAGCTTAAAACATCACTATCTGTCTGATTATCAAACACCTTAGACACAAAATGGAGCTACTATTTTCTAACAAACATGCATATTCTAAAGTTTAAATCCCCATATAATGTGAAAAAACAATTACACATTTTTGCACAGAAATTTAGAAATCAAACCATATACAACATTGTAGCAGGAAAATTATATGACACTTTGTTTTTCTTGTCTCTAATTTACTTTTATTACTTTTTTGTATACACTTACTTTAAAGAGAGTATAGCAATAATTGATATGAAATTAGAAGCAGTACACATTTTTAAGGCCAAAATAGCAAGTATTTTAAGTATGGCTTTAGTATTACACATTGATGTCCACAATGTAGTTGCTTAACACACAGACATCAGCATATAGAGTTAGTAAGGGTGAGAATTCTATCCATTAACTGTTATTTTCATAAAGCTGATGGAAATTCTTAGGACCACTGTGTCAACCATCTTGTTTATATAAATATATGTATTTGCCCCTACCATGTTTCCTAACATTTTGCCTTTCTCTTTCTCTGTTGTTTAATCCTTAATTACTCTCTTTCAACTTAACTGTTATAACTTTCAGTTTTTATTTCTACTTTTGAGTTCTTACACTAGAGACAATATAATATTTACACATGCATGTCTGGTTTATTGCACTTATAAGTATAGCTTCAACTTCCATCCACTTATGAAGGCACAGAGATTATTTTTTATAACTGAGTAATAGTCCATTGTATAAAAACACTACATCTTTTTAATCCATTTCTCAGGTGATGGGAGTTTTGGTTGTCTCCAAGTTTTAACTATCACAAATTGTGCTGCTATAAACACAGGAACACATACATCATTATGATATGATTTTTTCACTTCTTTTGGGAAAATTCACAAAAGGTGGGTAACTGAATTGAATGTGATTTCCAGTCCGAGTTTTTAAGGCGTCTCCACACTGATTTCAATAAGGGTTGTACCACTCTACATTCCCACCAGCAGTGGAGAAGGGTTCCTTTATCCCCACAGCCTCTTCAACATTTGTTGTTCATTAATGTCTTTATGACAGCCATTCTTTCTGGGGTGAATGGTATCTCAATGTTTTAATTTGCATTTTATGAATGGCTAGTGATGTGAAGCATTTTTTCATGTATTTATTTGTCTCTTGTATTTCTTCCTCTGAGAAGTGTGTGTTCATCTCAGATACTCATTTTTGGATTGGGTCTTTAAATTTTGGAGCCCTAGTGTTTTTTACTTCTTTATAAATTCTAGGTAGAAGACCTTGCCTGAATATTTATTAGGTAAACTTTTTTCCAAATTTATGGGTTGTCTTTTAACTCTGCTGGTAATTTCTTTTGACATGCAAAAACTTCTCAATAAAAGGAGGTCCCAGTTGTTAATTCTGTCAGGTATTTCCTGTGCGGTTTGATTTTTATCCATGAACTGTTTGCCTATCCCCATGTCTCAAGATTTTCACCTACATTTTTTTCCACTGGATTTAGCGTTTCTGTTTTAATGTTTAGATCTTTAATACTATTGTCTTTAGGTTAGCACACGGTGATAGACCCGGGTCGAGTTCATGTTTTCGGCATGTAGAGAGCCAGTATTTCCAGTGTCATTTGTTAAAGAGGCTATCTTTCCTCCAGTAAATGTGTTTGGCCCCTTTGTCAAAGACAAGATGGCTGAGTATTTTCGTAGTTGTATCTGCATCTTCTAATCTATTTCTTTTATCCTTAGGTCTGTTTTTTGCCAATGCCATGGCAATATTATCAGTAGCTTTGCAGTATAATTTCAAGTCAGGGTTTGTAATGACTTCTGCCTTGACTTTGTTGCATAGGATAGCCTTTCCTATTCCAGTTTTTCTTTTCTGGTTCCAAGTAAATTTCAGGAATGATTTCTGGAGGTCTGTGAGGTATGTTGGTGGTATCTTGATACAGATTGAATTAAATATGTGTAGCAATTTTGGGAGTATGGCCATCTTCACAACATTGGTTCTTCCTATCCAGGAGCAAGGAATGTCTTTCCATTTTCTAAAATCCCCAACTATCTCTTTTTTCATTCAATAGATCATTTACTTCTTCCATTATATTAATTCCTAAGTATTTCATTTTCCACAGTGCTATTTTAAAAAGTATCATTTCTCTAATTTCTCTCTCACTGTGTTTGTTATCTGTGTAGAGGAATGCTATTGACATTTGGGTATTGACTTTGTATCCTGCTATGCTACTGAATTTGTGTTTTAATTCTAGTACCTTCTTCGTAATGTTTTTTGTATCTTCCAAGTGGAGTATCATGTCTTCTGCAAATAATGATAGCTTAACATCTTCTTTATTTATTCTTATTCTTTTTATTTTTC